ATAATAATAGACCAGGTATTCTCTGACTCAGTGATATGGAGAACATAACATATTGAGAAAGGGAAGCGATTTTGGAAGCTCTCTTCAATATGAGAAATCAGACCACCACTATTTGAAGCCAAGGGCCTTTTACTACCTTTCCTTAGAAGGGATAAAATAATATATATATATATGGAAACATTCCCTTTTATTCTTCAATAAAAGTTTTTTGAAATATGAGATACAGTATTTCTTCAGAGTAAAACACCTGTCAGAAAGTATGAGTACTTTCCTTAAAAAAAAAAAAAAAAAACAAACAAACAAACCAGGATTCACAAATATGTCTTAAGAATTAAGTCTGCAGTCACCCTACTGTATCAATTCAAGTCTTATTTACTAAAGACACAGAGAAGTATTTCATGATCTCCCTGCATTCAGGAACTTTTATTTTTTTAAATTCAGCATCAGAGTCCCCAGCTAAATTATTATAATAGAACGCTGGCTAAGACTTATAATTGAACATCATTAGTTTTTATTATTTTGTGTGTCTCTTGAAGTCAACATCACATTTACAGATTATTACTTCAAAATTATCCAATTGTCAAAATCCAGAGGATAATACATTTTTTCCTAACAGCACAGCTTGGGAAAATATACTCATCAATGATGCCAAGTGAAATTAAATTAAAAAAAAATAGAGTAAACTTGATGATCAACTACCATGTATAAGAACCTAGAAAAGAGTTAAATATAATTTAAAATTTATTTTAAAGCAAGATACAATAATTTGTATTCTATCCTATGCCATTTATGCAATGCCAAGATGATGTGTGAAAATGAAGGAGTATTTTGAGTTTCCCAGAGAATGCCAAATAAGTGGTCTGAGTTCAATCTAACTAAATTGCCTAATAAGCCAAGTTTACTATGGCTTTTTGGCTATATAAACAGAACTAAAATCTATCAATAAATGAGACAAAAATTAAGTTATTTTCTATATTGGGAAGTATGACATTATCCTTTTAAAAACCTTAAAGAAAAAGCATTACATGAATCAAAAACCAAACAGACTTCCTAGGAACTTTTGTAAAAAGTTATGATCTAATCAAAAAGATGTTTAGAAACATAGAGTAATAAAAGGAAAGTTTAAAAATGTTCACCTTCAATTTATTTCATAGGTCACTGTTATACCATCTAATAAGATAATTAAAAACATGCAAGCAGCTGGTACTACAGCTAAACAGATTAATGTAATAGTCTGTAGTCATATGTGCTGGCAAGGGCTCGCCTCTTTTGGCGAGGAGAAGGTCAGTTGCCCTTGGGAAGAGGAAGGGAGGATGGAGAAACAATATTCCCTCCACCATGTGGCCATGTGGGCTCCATTCACTAAGTTAACATCCACTGCAGCACACACAGGAAACTCTCTCTTTTCCTTCATATTTGGCAGTATTCTCTCACATTTAACTTGACAAAAAAACATGTAACACTGGTCTGTAAAACCTGCTAGGATGTATTTCATAAAACTAATATTGTATTCTTAATACTTAGAAATTTACCATTTTAACACAATACTGCAAATTAGTTGGAAGCCAAATAATTAAATTTTAACCAACACTTCCAAAGCAAGATGTGGCCTAATACCATTCAGGCATTATATAACCCCATACAAATGTCTTAGGAGTTAAACCCAGTTATACTCTACCTATCTGAATCAATGAATAAAAACCACAAAGAAATACAATTCATAGTAAAACCCCGTAGGCCATAAAAATAAATCTGTGAACATTAGCCATATGAAGCTATAGTTAGAGTACATGGATTTTAAATTTCATAATTTATTTGTTATAGTTCCAGGTATCACCTCTAAACTTACACTAATAGTATCATATGTTCCCTTACTTTTTACCAAGTACACACATTTGCTGTATACAGAAAGCTTGAAATAATATATCAGAGATTTAGAGTTTTAATAAAAACCCCATGTTAAGCTAATTCTTAGCTGCCTTTTGGATAATAAAGCTATTTCCCTGTAAGTCATACTGCTTGTCTTGTTGGCTTCTCTAGCCTAGTACACTATAAAAGTTTCCCACAATATCAAATTGTTAATGATGATGACAACGATGATGGTGACAGAACAAACTGTAACATAAAAGCAATTAATCATTATTTAGCATTTACCAAGTGAACATTACCCCATAAAACCCCTCATGGCAACTCTATTTTATCATCCCCATTTCAAAAGTGAGGAAATGGAGGCAAAGACTGTCCAAAGTCTTCAAAGTATTTTTAGCAACACACTATGTTTAGATATTATTTTAAAACAATCACAAACTACGCATCCTTAAAACTAACAATCTAACACTATAATATAAAAATAATGAAAAAAAACAATGATTTCCATAACCAAAACAAGACAGAATTCAAAAATCAGTAAAACTTCAACATATGCTGAAAAAGGTACTTGTGTTAGAGGGTGAACACCAAGGCATAAAGCTTTCTGCTTGCAGGGGGTTAGTGCAAACAAACAAATAATCTGATGGCTCCGCATGCAGATTTTCAAGAGGCTTTATTTTACATATTTTACCCCAGTACTTAACAGAGTTGTGGGAAGGAAGCAAATCAGACAATATAACGCCCTTTTTACAGAGGAGAAACTAAAGCAAATCTTCCCTGGACATAAGCTCTAGTGTGTCAGTGGTAGGCTTAGGCCTGAGCTGTCGGATTATGAAGAAAAGTTAGGATTTCTGAGGCAGTTTTAATAAAGAAGAGTTGTTACACAAAAGGACTTCCGAACATGGGAAAATTTATGTGTTTTCTAATAACTGGTTACTAGCTGGTTTAAAAGAGCTATAATGGCAACAGAAAAATAATTTTCATTTTCTAAAGCAAATTTTACTAATAATCTGTTGCTATTTGCTATTTAATATGATCTTGCTACATTTTTCTAGGTTTTGTCTATTAACGTTTATAAGAAAATATACACCAGAACTGTGCTTCTATGAATTCTACATTTAACCCAAGTGTCAAATTCACAATTAAGCTCATTATATTATAAGAGCTACTGCCTACTGGGTAGAAAAATATTAATTTCACACCTTAAATACTATAATACTATTTAATAGCAGTGTTAGCCTGCCAACTATTAAAAGCCTGCTTTTACATAGTATACTGTATTACCTGAACTTTTTATCTTGCCTTTTTATTATAACAATAAATTAATATGCTAACATTACAACAGTGACAAGCATTGATTAAAATATTTAGTGAACAACAATAGTATTTTTGTGCAAAGTGACCTTAGGAATTTTTTAAAACATAATCTTAACACAGTAATACTAAGATATTTTAATCTTCAAATATTCAAGGACAAAATAAACTAAAAGATAACATTATATCATCACCATACAACATTTCTTTTTATATTATGTCATTATTTTTTATAATTAAACTCAAAATGAAACTGTAAGAGAGAATTCACCAGCAAAATTTATACACATATGAAGACATTCTTCTGCCTCTGAAATTCATGCTCTCCCTCCATTTTGACTTGGTGATTTTTTTTATCATATTTACCCTTACTAATAGTATTGCCATCATATATTTCACATATGTTATCATATTAACATTCCTCAGTTACATGCTAAATCATGAATATTTATTTATCTTTCACATTGATGTTTTTGCTTGTTGTGATCGGCTGTGACAGGTTCAGATAGGGGAATCTATTATTTAACATGTCAAATTCTAAGCTTTGTATTACCCTTTAGGACTAAAAGTAGGATTTGGAGAACCACAGCATTTATAAAGTAGGACGGGCACAGAGAAAATACCACAACAGTACAGGCGCTTCACCGCTGTGATGCTGCCCTTCCAGAATTGCACAGGCACATAAGCCTTTTGTAGTGTCTGTGACACTTGAACGACTGAATATTTACACTGATTCCAACTGGTATAAAATAAAGATGTCAAGTGTTTCAATTATCATCTCATTTCTGGAATTCATAAACAAATTGTAAAAATTTTCTCATTTGCCACATTCTGAAGTGCTTCCTACATACAAGGCACCATTCTACACATTAAAGCCAAGCCTGGGATCTGAGGAAACAAATGACACAGCCCCAGGAAGGGAGATGGAATATGGATACAAACTACCTAAGTGCAGATTCTCCATATTTACTACAGAAAAGAAGATACAGTTTAATATTCAAATGAGTTTCAAGGTACACAATGATTCTCACACATATTTTATAAGAGCTGTTAGACAAGCAGCAGAACTAATGTACCCTAAGGACAATGAGCTCAAAGTATTTCTTCAAAAATATACATGGTCCTCTACAATGCTAAAATGTACTAATATTGAATCTGTGCTTTTCTTTTCCTAAAAAAAAAAGTCAAGATCTTATACAACTTGGTTCAGTACGTAAATTCTCAAATAATACTGAAAATACTTTATGTTTTGCTTTTCCTGGGTTTTCTTGTTATAAAGGCCCAAAATTCATAAACATTTAATAAAGAAAAAATCAAGTTATGAAGTGAATGGTGACTAAAACACTAAATAAAATACATATTTCTTTACTACTGAATCCTTTCAAATAATTATTATTTGAGCCGTAACTGCCCTATTTGCTGGAGAGCCCTAAAAGGGCATTAACAAACAGCACTTAATTCAATCATATTTACATTTTAACCTTTCTTAGGTACTCCAAAAGAAGTCTTTAGTGCTGTAACAAATATACAAGAAAAACAAAAACAAATTATAATGAAGGTTAATACGACATGTACATTTATTCTAATTAGTGTGCTATAGGATAAGAAAGCAACAGATATCTGATGTAAGCTCATTTACAAGAATTTGGAATATTACATTTTCTGTTACTCATTATTTCTGCAGATAATCACATATCACAGTTATATTTACATATTATCACATTTTAAAAGCGCAAGTCATAATTCCTTGCTAGTCTAAGATATTGGATCTTATATATTATCTTATAATATTATGTATCTCTGTATTTACCACCTACCTATAAGAATTAAAAGTCCCTTCAGAGTCTAAAGTAGAACTTGTTCTTCTTCCATTTCTATTTGAATCTCCTGGAAAAAAATTAAAAAAAAATACGCACTAAAATAACGGAGATTACAAAGCAATATTTCAGTTAAGAAACAGCTGTGAACAGTTCTATGCAGTATATTAGTCAAAACATATATATCCCCTTGCCCCTCCCCTAAATAATCTCCTGTCTCAAAAGTGTTTTAGGAAAAATACTCATCTTGATGCCAAAATATAAACGAACAGGACTCCAAAATTGTATAATAATGCTATCCATGTAATCACTAGTAAGAATAAATGAAGTATAATGCAGGGTTTTTTTCTTACAAATTTATACATTTCAACTTACAAGTCTGTAGAATAAAAATACATCTACTAAAGAAACTTAAAATGCTAACCAATACCCAATATAAAATATATATTCTTACTGATAGAAATATAATAATTTAATTCTCAAAATATATATTTCAAAGTTTAGTTATTAAAAATAGTTCACCATGATTAAATAGAACATTTGTTCTTCAAAACAAGTTATAAAACTGACAGAAAAACCTAAAATATATAAACCATTTAGTTATATGCTAGCATTTTCATAAAAGAGAATTTTCTATTGGTGATCAAGTCACCATGCTAACAACTGGGACAGTCAAAAAAAAAAAAAAATCAGGCAGAGAAAAGACCTGGACAGTTTTCTAGTTCCCAATTTTTCCATTTGCTAGAAATTGAAGAAGAAGAGATGAACATAAAGTAGATTAGGTAGGCAACGGTCAAAAATAAATTTTAATGAACCTCTAATACACTTTAGAGGTTTATCCAAAAATTTATGTTTAAATTGCTAACTTTACGATATACCTGTCAAAAGTTCAGTGATTTAAAACATGAAAAAATAATAATACCAAAAGGTATTCATGTCTCCTGCAATACTATCAAACATCTAGAAAAAATATTTTACCCAAAAAACGGGAATATTCATCAAATAAAAGTTAGAACAAATTCGCACATATCAGTTTAAATTGTATAGAATAAAAATAAATTTACTGAAGACACTGCAAAAATGCTTACTAATGCCCCAATGTAAAATATATGTGCTTACTGATAGAAATTTAATATTCTAATTTTTAAAATACATATTTCAACATTTAGTTATGAAAACACTGCATACTATTAAAGTGTCATTTGTTCTTCCAAACAAATTACACAGATAAGAATCTGGTTTTAGACTCCAAATTCCTACAATGTAACTTCCAAAGATCAGGATACATTCATTCTTGTCATATTTAAAGCTTAATAATTTCATGACTTATCCAATTTTATCTTATGATTTTAATCCACTCTGCACAACTGAACATGCCACTGGAGAGCCTCACAGTGGTCCTGGTGAAGTCAGATAGTAATTACAGACCTTTCAGTGTAAAGACGAGATTATTTTTAATTATTGAGTAGAGTACTTAAGGTACCATACTTCTATAATTATGCTGCTCATTAAATGGTTACTGAAAGCTGAAATGTAATTTTAATGGTAGCTACCTATTTTTCTATACACATTTTATAGCTGACAGATTAGTCAAGAACGTTCGTTCTCTTCAAGATCTTTGCAGCTGTGCCAAAGTACTCAGGAGGATGGCAAGTGAACTGTGCCCACTTACTGAACCTTCACCTCTAACTCATTTTGCAAGGTACACTTTCAGGTTTTCTTTCTTCTTCCTCTTTTCTTTTTTTTTCTTAAAAAAAAAAAAGGGGGTGGGGGTAAAAAAAAAATCCTAGGATGGATTACAGCACTAGTAAATGATGATTAAAAAAGTTAAATATTTACAATTTAATCCAGCTGTGTATGTGTTATTGATTAGTTGAAAACTTAGGCCAAGTACACGTCACTTTATTTTTAAAAAATTAGTAGTATTATAATAAACCTGAAAGAGCTAAAGAAAGTTTAGGCTTTGTCTTGCTAAATGAAAATTTCCAACAACATATTATTTTACACACTGCAGACATTTCCTGTGAAATATTCCATAATCAGCACAGAATAAGCAGTATGATATATACTTAAAATACGAACCTTCTCTATCCTTAAAATTAAGGATTATGATTATTTACATATAACGCATCCCACCATTTCTTCTTAAAGGTTATATTTATCAAATCAAATATAAAATCCTTCAAATAATTGAGACTTGATTTTTAAGAGTCTTTTTCATGCTAAGAAATTACAAAATTACAAAGGCCTTCTCCAGTTTATAACTGCTACAAAATGAAAATATCACATTAAATTTAACTTTCAAGGTACAAGAGATGGCAATAAGGAAAAAAAGCAGTTTTTTTTCCAAAAACATACCAAATAAGGAGCACAATCGTTTCACTAACCATATTAGAAAAAATATTTCAGAGTTTGCTACATGGGAAAAAGGCAATAAAGTTTTGAAGCGGGAAAAACTGCTTTGTTTCCTCAATCCTCTAGTTGAAATTAATTATAGCAAATGTTTATGAAAACATCTGTTCCTCACAGTTATAAATTCTTAATTTTAGTATGGATGATTCCAGACTCTTATTTTGGAAGGAAACTGTCGGAGTATTGAAAGGTTTACAAAAGAACAGACAGAACTTGTAATTCTGGAAAATTGTACATACAACGTGCTACATCCTGTAGAGATTTCGTTTGTGTGAAACATTTGGAGGGGATTAATACTGGTAACTAGGAGAAATCAAAGACGAACAGAAAGGTCCATATTTCATCTAAGCTGTTATATGATAAAAACATATTTGTGACACAAGAGAATACCAACTAAGAATTACAAACAAATGTTGCTTTACTTCTGAATCTAATTTCTAGGTAAGCATAACAAAATAAGTAATAATTTTATCAAGGATTTAAATAAGTGTAATGACAATACAATCACGGGAACATATGTAGCAGTGTTGCCCAAAAATAACAATAGAGGGTGCAAGAGAGTTTAATATGATGCTTTTCATTGCTATTCCGATTTTGAACTAAGTTGTCAGGCAGCCATAATTGTAACAGGAATGCACAGGCTGTTTTCCAATCATACTTTACCAAAGGAGCTTTAAATGATCAAACAGCCCCAATATCTAAAAATGTTTTAAGATAACACATTTCACTTGTTTGAGTAATAATTTAAGAGGAAATTTCTAGAATACAACTGTAATTTTAAAGGTATTTCAATAAGTAATGTAAAGTAGCCACTAAAATAATCTGGATAAGGTTCTTTATGCATTTTAAATGCATGCATAAATAATATATACTACACATATTAGATGTGTCACCATATATGTAAAAACACAATACTTTTTCTAACTAAATAAACAGTTCACCAATTACTTATGGCCAGAAGTTTGAAATTTACATAATGTTAACTGCTAAACAACTTTGCAAAATAAATTTATAACATTCATAATTAAAATAAGTTGGCTGATTTGAAAAATACATGTTAATAAGTTGTCTTGGCTTAAATGAGAATACAAAAAACACAGTATTTTACAACAGTCATTTCTAACCTACTTTTAACAAAGTGAAAGGAATTCCGACTCCTTGTCTGAACTGCAGTCAAGTTCAGCTAGGGCACCTACAGGTTTGATCAGTGCAGTGTTGAATCGTGGTAAACAAAAGTAAACAACAGGTTTCTGCAGTCCGTTGTATACACAAACATCTGTCTGCTTCTAGGTTAAGTTAAAAACAGCCAGAAGAACACTATACAATAAGTACACCCACTCAAATGTGCCTTCAGTTTACATCTGAAAACACTGGTGTTAAGAGTATCACTTCACACTAGCTATGAGTTCTGAAATCTAATACAGAAATAAGAAAAGACTTAATCCCTGAATTGTTCAAGGATCATCACCAACTATGTATGGCACATAAGAATAAGAAGAGAAAAATGATTTAGTTCAAACTAAGATGGAAACAAAGTCACAGGTTGATGGCGTAAACACTCTAAAGGATTTCTGTCTTAATTAAATTAACTGCAGTGTTTTAGTTGAAATTATAAAATCCCTAATAAAGTGAATGACTTTAAGAAATCTCTGAGAAAAGTATATTCCTATGCTGACATACAGAAAAGGCAACGACTCAGCAGCGTCCATAAACACACCAGTAGCCAAAAGAGGGACATCACCTCACTTCAGGAAGCAGAGTAACCGTAAACCTTAGTAGGCTAATTATTTATGCTAAAATTCCAGCAGTACCCATTAGATTTTAAGAGCCAGTGCTAGGTCAAGATATGAAATCTGTGAATTTTGTAATTTCCCATTGTGTGTATTCGTTTATCTGCATTCTACTGATTTAATGTTCATAATTGTCTAACATTTAAAATTTTTCTTTTTCAGAAAAAGAAAGGTCAGATATAAAACAGAAATATAGCGAACTATTTTAAATAAAAAACACTTCTGGGTAGGCCATTTTAATTTCAGAAGACATCTTGTAATTTCTATTAAATAATTAACAGAATTAGTTGTTTAAAAAAGAAAGCAGACTGACATCAGCAAAAAGGCAGAGTATGAAACTCCAAGTACTTGTCCTCCCACAGAAACACTGAAAGACAAGCAATTAATCAAGCAAACTTTGTCAAAACTCTGGGAAACAGTCAAAGATTTACAAAAGCCAAATGAACACAGAATCAAGAAAAAGAGAACTTGAAAATTCTGTGGCATTTTTGACTTGCCCTTAGCCCTCCCTCTCCCTGGGCTGTAGCAGTCTTCAAGAGGGAAGCTCTCCACGCAGCTTGGGAGTCTGGTACCTGGTTCCAGACAGCCCACAGCAGATCATTTTCTAAGTTGTTGGGCACATGTGCTTGAACCTGTTCAGGGGCAACCTGAAGGAGTAACCAAAAAGACATTTCTCTTTGTTTAGGCAACTTAGAAGAAAGCATTAGGCATCACTGATACATACTGCAAGGCGAACTAAGAGCCCAGGGATGCCTGGGGCAAAAGATTACAAATGAAACACAAAACAGACCAACCCAATGCCTGGGAGCAAAAGCTAGTGAGAGTTTCTTTGGGAAATTAGGACATTCAGAAGGACTTATATACATGG